GGTGCAAGGTCCTCACCAAAATATTAGCCAATCAAATCCACCAACACAGAGAAAAAATAATATCCAAGTAGGGTCAATTTCAGGAATGCAAGGCTAGTTCTTTACTTGAAATTCAAGCAGGGTAACCTATCTAATCTAGAGAATTAGCATACGATCATATCAGCTGATACCAAAAAAAGGCATTTAAAAGCTTCAACAGTTGTTCATGTTAAGAAGTCTCAGGAAACTAGAACAAGATGAGAACTTTCTGAAGCTATTTCTAGAAAAAAACAAAACAAAGCAAATACCAAACTGAATGCTCAAAGTCTGGATATCTTACCCTCTAAAAGCAAAACCAACACGTAGCTGGATACATACACTCGCCACTGACACTTGACATCACACTGGCGGTGTCTATCAATGTAATAACACAGGAAAGCAGAAGCAGGCACACCGCCTGGAAAGGAAAAATCTGTCAATCATTACAGACATAATGGGTTTAACAGAGAAAATCGCAAGGACTAGAAATGAATACTGGAAAGTGAAATTTTGAAAACCAAACCATTCACAAACTACAGCCTTAGAAAGGAAGCACAGGGTAGCCTAGCAAAACACACCCTCACAGGCAGAAACATGCCCTCCCCAATGTTCATGTTGAAGGCCTAATCTGCAAGGTGACTACCATCTGGAGACAAATACTTTAAAGAAGTAATTAATACCTATTGCCCTTGTCCTTTAAGCCAGCTAGTTTGTGGTATTTTTCCTGTTTACATTTCAAACTATACATAATATTGGTACATATGTATGGAGGGGGGTCATCTGATGTTTTAATGCATGTATACATTATATAATATTCAAATCGCTTCTATCTCAAGTATTTTTAATAGTAGAAACATTGAAAATCCTCTCTTTCAAAAACAGATTCACACAGTACATTAATAGTATCTATAGTCATTTAACTCTACCAGGAGAATCCCAGAACCTCTCTCTCTTGCCTAACCACAGCTTAGTATGACCCCGTCTCTCCCTCTCCCTACTCTCTTCAGCCTTTGGTAACCACCATTCTACTCTGAACTTCCACAAAATCTTTTTTTTTTTTTCTTAAGATTCTATACAAGGCTGGTTGGGTTGAACTAGGCTTCAATGTCCACTGACGTGTAAGAGAGCTGAATGGGATGTGGGACAGACTGGACCAGTCTACTGTACATACTGGCACGCACGGGAACCAGGGCTTGCTGGGATTATTGCAGGTTGCTCTGACGAGGCTGCAGCTCCCACTGGTTTGTGTTGGGTCCGAATGTGCAGTGGGCAGGATCGGGTTGGGCTCCAACACCCATGGGTTCGTGTGGAAGACAAGGCTGGAGACAGAACTGACCCAGCAATTGAAACCAACAGCATGTGCATAAGCTGATTTGGGCAACGGACTGGGCCGGACCCTGTACAGGCAAGCACACACAAGAATGAGGGCTGCGATCACCTCAGACCAAGTTTCTTTGGGGATCCCTCCAATTGAACTGCTGATCTCAGAACTCCAACCATGAAGAGAAGTGTAGGTTCAATGGTCTGACCATGAAGTGCATGTGTCAAAGCTGAGCTTCCTCAGAGGCTCAGACAGAGCAGTGGACAGCATATCCAGGTGCACATGGAGGACATGGCAGTCCATCAGAGCCTGCAAAGGACACTTGGAACCATGGCGGAGGATGGAGGACAGAACAAATCAATTAACTACCCCAGCTATGTGTTGGCAGCCACCATGTGCACGTGGTGAGCTGTCCCAGGGCCTGCCTGGGCTCCGGGGGCTGCTCCCTCCGGGGGTGAGTACACCGAGGGGGGGGTCTCTGTAACTGGGCAGGTCTGGGGCCCACCTGCCGCCTTCATTGGGCAGTGAATGGGATTGGGGAGGGGTGCAACCTTGGGCCTGGGAGTTTAAACTTTCAACAGCCTCCCGGCTGCTGGTGGGTCTCAGGATGGGGTGTCTCATGCCTGGATCCCAGACGACAGCCACCATGTGCATGTGGTGAGCTGTCAGTGCGCCATTTGGTGCCAGGCTCTGCCTGCTGGCCATCCGGCTGGGGAGCTCTAAGGTTTTGGTTCTTTGAATTGCTGCTTAGGTAGATCCAGGTTGAACCCACTGTGCTTCTAGGACGTGAAGCAATCGTAAAGATCCCCAATGACAGTAACTCTTCCTTTGAAAAACTTGTAAGCACTGAACAATGCTGCACCTGCATGGGAGACCCAGAAGAAGCTCCCGGGCTCCTGGCTTCAGATCGGCTTAGCTTGGGCCATTGCAGCCATTTGTCTCTGTAAATCTGCCTTTCAAATAAAAATAGATCCTTTTTAAAACCTGTTAGAAAAAATTGGCGTGGACATTGACCCTAGCAATGAAGAGAGCAGTTAGGACACCTGCCTCCCACGTGAGATCACTCAGGTTGCACCCCGGCCCCATCTCCTGATTCCAGCTTCCTGCTCATGCATACCTTAGCAGTGATGGCTCCAGTGGTTGGGTTCCTACCCCCAACCTGGGAGGCCTGGATTGGGCTCCCAGCTTCTAACTTTGTCCCTCCTTTCACCTATCCTTATGGTACCCTGAACCTCTCTCTCTGTCTTGCTCTCTCAGTCTCTAATAATTTATCTTAATTTTTGAATAAAAACAAAATAGGAAATAAACTGAACTCTTATTGCCGTTGCTAACTCTCATGGAAAGATAAATCACACACCCAAATACACACACAAAACTAAACAGCCAGCTCCTCTAATTCAACAGAAAACCTCAAGTACCTCATCAAATGGTGTAAAGAAAAGCAGATGAATAACACTACACACCAAGTTCTCCAGCAAGTACCCAAGGTTGTGGAAATGCTGAAATAGACATGGACAGTTAATAGGCATTTGATGTGGTACTCACACCCAGCATAGCGAAGTCAACAACATCTCAGAACAATTGAGACTATACAAGCAACAACCTTAAGACATTCTTCCCCCAATCTGAGTCCCTGATACAACATCGGTTGAACTACCTCTTTCCCCTAGCACTGATGTGATCTGGCAGCAAGCAGTGGTGCAACATCTCCACCACCACCACCACCATGGTCACAGGAGGGCGGGACCTTTTCCCTACCCACCTCCTCCGACCCATCTCCATCCTACTTGGTGGTTGGCTTTGGTCTGCAACCCCCTCATCTATGTAACATTAAAAATTAAATAAGTGTTACTGTCAAAAAAAATTAACACACAACTTGGATCAATCTCCAGGGAACTCTGCTAAGTGACAAAAAATCCAGAAGCAAAAACTAGATAGATACTGTGATCTCATCTAGATTACATACTTTAAAAATCTTATTCATTTTTTATTACAGTCTTGAAATGACAACATTCCCCAAAGGGAGAATTACTAGTTTCCAAGAGTCTAGGAATGAGTATGGGGAAGCAGACGGTGAATGCAGCTATTAAAGGTCAACCTGCAGTATTGGTGAGGTGATGCAACTAGTCTGCACTTGGCCTTATCAATGTCAATGTCCTGATGGCAACACTGTTTTCAGTTATGCAAGATATTGTCATTGGTGGAAACTGGGGAAAGGTCACGCAGAATCTGTGTGTTATTCTTACAGCTGCCTGTAAGTGAATCATGCCAAGAGGAAGTCTTCATTCTAGAAGAAACCCCAATTACATGACATTCTTAACCAGGAACAGATGTGTGGTTGCCTGAGGCTACAGGTGAAGGAGGACGCAACTACCAAAGGCTACCATAGGACCAGTGGTAGCAAGCCAATGTTCCTGTGGAGCAAGCACTGCATGTGGGCATAGGTTCGTGCCTCAGCTGCTCCACTTCTGATCCAGCTCAATCCTTGTGGCCTTGAAAAGTAGCTGAGGATGGCCCAAGGCCTTGGGACCCTGCACCCAAGTGGGAGACCCAGAAAAAGCTCCTGACTTCTGCCTTTAGACCAGGTCAATGCTGGCCTCTGTAACTATTTGGGGAGTGAACCAGCAGATGGAAGATCTTTCTCTCCCTCTCTCTGTAATTCTGAGTTTCAAGTAAACATAAAACTTAAAAACAGGGTACCATGAACTTGTTTTTACGATGATAAAACTATCCTTTAGATTAGTTACATTGTCTACCTGTGTCAACACATATCAACAGGCACAACAGCAAATCACTTTTACTGTATGCAAACTAATAATACAACCTTTTTAAGGAAAAGGAAAAAGATGGAGAGCTATAGGTGTCTGTGCAACTTTGTCTCTTGGCCAAAAGAGAATTGAAAAGTCTAACTGAGAAAATCAGTTGAAAACTGAAAGTTGAACTGAGGCAATCAATTGAAACGCAACAAGATTCCCTAAGAGATTTTGTTCTGTAATTACATTTTGACCTGATGTCCGCAGCTCCCTGAGGAATGTTGCAAAATGTTATCTGTGGGAAAACAGGAACTGCTTTTATCACAAGGCTGAAGTTGAAAAAACAATTGCATCACCCACATGAAGAGCCAGCACGTATGCAATTCCAGAAAACCTTGACCTCCCCTCAACTGCCAGGGATTCACAGAGGAGCCAGCAGATGAATATTAATAAGATCATGCCTGACTTAACAATAGTGCAACTTAAAATCTGTCACCTTTATCATCATGCAGAAGGCACACACATTCATACCTTCGCTTTTGAATATGAGTCTTTTTCTGGGACCCCAACATTAGGATCCTCTCTGGCGGTGCTGGGCACGGGAAGTGGGCTGCAAGGCAGACCACCAGCCCTCTACTGTATGTTGTGCTGCTGTGCTAGAGTGTGCAGCTTTGGCGTATCAAACGCACATTCAACTCACAGCATTTACATCCTGTCATAGGTTTAGCCAACTGCAGCTCCAAAGCCCTGCTACACCCAACCTCCTCCAGGCATCCATATTCTAAATTAGTCTTGTTCCACCATCTCATTTACCCTGACCCTAAGCCTACTTTGCGAATGATTTTTTTCTTTTACATAGTGATGTATCTCATTACATCCACCGTCACAGACAGGCAACACACACTTACCTGGGGTTTGGCCATTTCCTGCTCTTCTTTGGAAAAGCCAAGGGTATGCGAAGGCTAAGCTGAAACAAGTGGACAAGAAGATATCAGTGGGCCCCAACAGGCCCTCAGTGCCGAGAAGTCCCTGCCTGGAAATCCCTCACATGAGCTGACCATAAAGCTGCCCTGTGGGAAGTCTGGGCAACCTGCAATCTTCCCAACAGCCCGAGTAGCCATGACTGCTTTCCTTACGTTAATACTGAATACACAGTGATGGGGGTAGTACAATGGCTCAAACAGGAAAAACCTTCTATAAATGTCGGCATCCCACATGGGTGCCAGTTTGTGTCCAGCTCCCTGCCCGTGGCCTGGGAAAGCAGTGGAGGACGGCCCAAAGTCTCGGGACCCTACATCCATGTGGGAGACCCGAAAGAAGTTACTGGTTCCTGGTTTCAGATTGGCTCACTCTGGCTGTTGTAGCCACTTGGGGAGTAAGTGAACTAGTGGATGGAAGATCTTTCTAAAATCTTTCAAATAAAAATAAATAAATCTCAAAAAAGAGAAAGAAAACACAAGGATATGCATGCTATGTAACTAGTACTGACACAGAAAGTGTGTTTCTTGTAACCTCACTTAAGAAAATCACTTCTCATGCTCTATACTTTCCCTGTAGATGCTTTTATCTCAGCCTTGATTTTAATGCCACAAAACATAAACAGTCCCAAATGACCCACAAGAAAAGACTCATAAAGAAATGTAAGGGAGAAAACGCCACACGACTCCTAAAGAGGCAAGGTGGAACCACGCACTTAGTATTCATGCACTTTATGATTAAAACAACAACAACAACAACAATGTGCTGGGGGGCTGGCACCTGCAATGCTACTATCTCCCATGATCTGCTTTTACCCCTAAAGCAAGCCATGGAAACTCAAACTCTAGGGCTGGCACTATGGCATTGTGGGTAAAACCACCACCTTCAATGCTGGCATCTCATACGGGCACCAGTTTGAGTCCCAGGTGCTAAACTTCTGATCCAGCTCTCTAATAATGTGCCTGGAAAAACAACAGAAGATAGACCAAGTGCTTGGGTCCCTGTTCCCACAGAGGAGACAGCAATGAAGCTCTTGGGTTGCCCAGCTCTGGCAGTGGAGGCCACTTGGGCAGTGAACCAGTGGATGGAAGATCTGTGCTCAAACTCAGCCTTTCAAATAAAAATAAATCTTGAAAAAACAAACAAACAAAAACCAATGTGCTAAACGTTTTAAAAGACGTAGTTCTATGCACACTAAAAATGTCTAAAAATGTGCAGGGGGAAGAGTAGGTCAATTTCCCTTGCGATTTTCTAATTAATCTATAATTAAACATGGACCATTAAAAACATCATTTTCATGACGTTTTACAGCCCTTCCCCCGCCCCGTGCACCACAGCAGCCCGTCCAGAAGGCGCCTTCCCACCCTTCCCAGGCTCCAAGGTCTGGGCGAGGCCTGGAGACAGGTGCGCCTGCTCAGGTGTTTCTTCTTCCTTCTCACCTCACCGGGACCGTCTGGTTCGGGAGCCGGAAAGATGCCTTCAGGAGTAGATAAAGTCCACCGGGAACATTTGCACGACACTGTGAACTCAGGACTTCGGGAACGGGCGGGGGGCCGGGCAAGGCGCGGCTCATTTAAAGAGGGGCCTGTGGGGTGCCCGTGAACTTGTTGTGTTGGTCACGGTGCTGGAAAAACGTGTGAACGTCAAAGTTTAAAGAGTCTTACCCAATCCTCATCTGCCCCATAACTTTTTCCAGCAACTGCCGGAGACCCTCATTTAGGGACCTCTCGGTCCCCCATTACTCAACCTTCTCCCCCCCCCAGCAAAGACTTTCAAACAAGCCTCGTCCACCCAACCTCCCACCCCCGCAAACTCCCCGTCATTCAAGCCCACAAAACCCAGGACTTGCCCCCTCAACCTCCACTCTTTCTTGACAACAGGTTTTCGCCCGCTGCTGAAAAAGACCGTTAGAACTGGCTCAGGCAAGCACTTCCGGTCCTAGAGACGCTAGCACCGCCCATTAAAGCGCGGCGGCCACCGGTTCTGCGCACGCTCAGAAGCGCCTTTGAGGCCGCCTACGCCAAGAGTCAACCTAGGGCCACAAAGGTGAAGGGGCCGTGGCGCAGGCGCAGACAAAAGATGTCCGTGACGGTGACGTCACTGTTCGGAGCCGAAATAGTCGCGACCATTTTATTTCTACCGCTAGAGGGCAGCAGTGCAGAACAGATGTTCACTTCGTTCTCTAGAGGCCGGCGTTCCTAAGGCTTCCACTTCTACAACACAGCCAGGTGCCCTGAAACCTCTGGCAAGGAAGAAACTCTATTTCATTCTGGCCATCATAATAGGAGGCTATAACAAGGATCATATTTTTAGCAGCCTAATATGAGGCAATCTAGCGTTATATGTTAACATTAAAGCGCACATATTTGACTTATTAAGTATCTATCTTGCCCCCGCTAAAGTATGACTTCTACAAAGGTTATGTAAATATTTCCTGTATGCCAGACAGTATCCTGGATATTAGGAATATAGCAAATCAGAAAATAAACCCAAACAAGCATGAGGGAGGCAGCTTGAATTCAAACCCCAACCTCCGTATCAGCTGTGTGATACAGGGCACTTCCCACCTTGTCTGTGCCAAGTTTCCTCCTCTATAAAAGAAGGATGACAGTGCCCACACCTCACTAGAGTTGTCATAACAAGCGATTTGATTAGTGTAAAGGATTTAGAACTATGCCTAGCACATAGCGGGTGCTATGTAACTGTTGATTGCAATGGTGGCGATTAACATTGCAAGTCTTTTTTTTTTTTTTGAAATTTTAATAATGAGGGAAAAGAAAATCTGAAGAGATGATTTGTAAGGTGCTTTACGGAAAACAGGCTACATAGGACAAGGTGGGGGGAGGGGGAGACCAGGGAGGAGGCTCCTGTAAACAGGCACAATTTGTGTGCCCGGCACCGTGTGAAACACATGACATGCCTTGCTTCAACCGTCACCACATCAGTGCTATGATCCTCACATCTCAGATAAGGAAACTGAGTTCCAGAGAAGTCAATAATTTGCCAAAAGTCACACACAGGTTCTCAAGGTTTGATCCATAATTTCCACACAATACTCTTGTGTATTCAACGTCAAACATCATTTCCAGAAAGTATCTGAGCAGTCTCATTCTAGAATCATTAAAACTAACCAAAGAATGGGACCTCCCAGAAGGCAAGACAAAGAAAGCAAGCAAGCAGGGGAGGGACTCAAATCCTTTGCTTTCCAAAGGATCAGCACCTCCTGATCCTCACTGAAAACTATGTGCTCTCTCAACGAATTAGGACGTGAAAATAGACCTTGATTTTCCCCAGCCTCTTTGCACACACATATACCCCTACCTATGCAGAAAGGGGAATCCTTTAGGGTTGGTGAAAGCAGAGAGCAGTGATTATCAGCTTTGGAAATGATTTTGAGCCAGTGATGCAGACACTATGCCAGAACCCACAAAGCACATGCACAAGCCACGTGAGGCTAGCTTTCCCCCTGTGAAGCCGCAGGGGATTGCAAACTTAGCCCCCAGTGCAACAAATTTCGGGATCCAGAGCCCTTGTTGCAGGCTTCTTAAAGCAGGAGGATCCCATCCTCATGGAAAGGGATTAATGCTGCCACAGGAAAGAAGGGCTTGATAGAATGGGCTCACTCTTGCCCTTCTACCTTCTGTCATGTGGTGATGCAGAAGAAAGTCCCCAGTGGAGGCTAGATAACTTGATCTTGGACTTCCCAGCTCCTTGAACCATGGGAAAATACACTGTATTCTTTCTAAATTTGTCGGTTGCAAGTATTCTGTGAGAGGAATACAAACAAACCGAGAAATTAAATAAATGAAGAACTGAGACGTCAAGCAAAAAGCCATAGCGGTCATCATCCACAAAACGTGAGCGATCAGAGGTGTTAGTAGGCACCAGGTAGTGAAAAGCACTTAGCGCTCAGTCTAAAGGAGGAATGGAACTAACAAGGGACATAGTGGGAGCAGATACAACCAAGCAGAATACTAGCAATGATTTTCGGAGTGGAGTGGGTGGGGGAATGGCATGGCATAACAATCTAAGCTTCTGCCTGAGGTGCTGACACTCCATATGGGCGCTGATTCAAGTCCTGCTTGCTCCACTTTCAACCCAGTTCCCTGCTTATGGCCTGGGAAACCAGTGGAAGATGGCCGAAGTCCTTGGGTCCCTACATTCATGTGGGACACCTGGAAGAGTTTCTTGGCTCCTGGTTTCAGATTGGCTCAGTTTCAGCTGCTATGGCCATCTGGGAAGTGAAACAGCAGATGGAAGATCTCTCTGTGCTTCTCCTCTCTATAACTCTGCCTTCCAAACAAAAGTAGCTGAATCTGGGAAGGGGAGCATGACCTCGCGACACGGTGAGTCCTGTGTGAGGGACGATGGACACCGAGAAGGACGTTCAACCCCCCAAGCAGCAGCCAATGATTTATATTTGTGGAGAATGTCAAACGGAAAATGAGATAAAATCCAGGGAGCCAATCAGATGCAGGGAGTGTGGATACAGAATCATGAACAAGAAGAGGACAAAAAGATTGGTGCTTTTAGATCTCGATAAAACCTGGCAGTTGATAGAAATATCCTCATTTGTACTTGGATTTGCTGTACATGTTTCTCCTTGTTGTATAGCTTTTAACGTAGCATACTTACCTTTTTGAACTGCATATGATTTTTTTTACCTATATGTGATTTCCTTTAAAAACTATACTATATTTAGGTATCTTTTAATATAAGGAAATCATTCAAATACATGACTTACAATTTAATTTTTTGTCATGTATGTTAAAATTACTTTCTTACATTCTGCTTGCAATCACAACCTAGAACCATCTGGAGTCCTTGGGAAACATGCATATTGTATAACCCTCTGAAAATCTAATAAAATCAGTTACTTGGAAAAAATAGAGGAATCTTTTAAAAAAAAAATCAGGTAACATAGGCTCTGTGTTAGGCCTAAGACCTGACAGCTATTTGTCCTTTTTCTGTCCCCAGCCCATCTCCCTGCATCTCTTTGACATTTAAGGGTTTCTCCCTAACTTTGTCTCCTTCCATCTATGTGCATATGTCAATATCTTTTCATTTCCTGGTATGTGTCTGTTTGTCTCTAAAAGAGCTGGCACTAGAAAGCAGTCAGGTGCCCAGACCTCTTCTGTGTTCCAGAATCCATCCTTCATAGGGCCCAGAGTTCTAGAATGCCCTAGCTCTGAACATTGTAGGGTGACTCTGGCCAAGGAGACAGCGGAGACGGCTCTGGAGAGCACCATGCAGGCCTGGGGCTTTGTGGTGTTCATTTTGGCCACAGTGATGATTTCTACTGCGGATGCCAAGATCTATGAACGCTGCGAGCTGGCAATGAAGTTGCAGAAGGCAGGCCTCAATGGCTACAGAGGCTACGGCATTGGAGACTGTGAGATTCCACTTATCCAAGTCCTCATCCATACCCCAAGCTAGTCCACTATCCCCAGGCGTAGCCCCAACCCCCTCACCTTGTCATTTTTTACTTCTCCGGGTCAGGGAATGATCCTCTCAGGCAATTTCCTATGATGAATGTCTTAAATAATTTCATTATCACCATCCTTGCCTTCACAATCATTACCTCCATCTCCATCAACAACACCATCACTATCATCTATATCAATACTGATAATACTACAATGAACACCATCACCATCCCTATGCCTAATACCTCACCAGAATCACCAACATGTCATCACAAAGTCAAAATCATCACCCTTACAGCTGAGATGACAATCATCCTAGGACCCATCATCCATTTCCTATTCCTAAGACCCTAAGTCTAACTCCTGTCTCTCCTTTTCTTCCCCCAGGGCTGTGCATGGCACACTATGAGAGCGGATATGACACCTCTTTCGTGGATCACAATCCTGATGGCAGCAGCGAATATGGCATTTTCCAACTGAATTCTGCCTGGTGGTGTAACAACGGGGTCACACCCACTGAGAATCTCTGCCACATGGACTGTCGTGGTAATACAGCACTAGGACACAACGAAATTTTGCCTGTCCCCCCCCCTCCCAAATATAGAGACCAAGATAGTTTAAGTCAGCATTTCCTGCCACAGCAGAAAAAAAAGTGATAGAGAAAAGATGAAAATTGTTTGGACTATTAGAGATACCACCCTACATCTTTACCCAGACTACACTAGAATGTTGTGCAAGTCAGAGTCAGGAAAGCTCAGACCTCCAGACCTGAAACAGAATGGAAGCTACAGTTATCTGAGACTCAGGAAACAGGAAACTTAGCTGCGTGTGCAGTATCAGGGACTGTCCTGATTCGGAGTTGAGTTTGTCCAAGTTCTAAGAAAGGTAGAATTCTGACTATAGGAATAGAAGTAAAGCATCTCCTTGCAGAAATGATAGAACCTTCCAGGCAAGAGTGTGGTGCTGTTTGAAGACAAAACAATGCCAGTTTAAGTTGCTCAGGAATGTCCAAAATGGTAGAGAAGTTTGTCTAAGACAGGCCAAAATGGAAATTGAGATTATTTGGGGCCAGCCCAAATAGACGTGGATGTTGCCCAAATCCTGAGAACATGATGCAAGAGTTCACTCAGGATTGGACAAAATGGAGGCCGAGGTCATCCAGTACTGGCCACCACAGGGACTGACATTCTCTAAGATAGGATTGCATGATTAATGAGTTTCTTTTCAAGAGTAGCTATACTGATTAGCTAGTTAGGGTGGTTAATTTTCAACATAGAAATGAAATAGTCCAGGATTAGCTAAAATGAAAGTTGAGGTCCTGGGTCAATCTACATGGAAGTTGAGATTGTCCAGGATTGGTCATCAAACTGGTTAAAACCCTTAGTAAATAGCAAAATGGTAATTAAAGTCACCAATGGTTGTTGGTGGTTAAGTTTGAACAATAGTGGCCTACATCAAGACTAAGGTTATCCAAGACCTGACAACATTTGTATTTCAGGTCATCAAG